AGGGACTTAAGACTTTAGAGATGGCTACCGGCAGGCTTAAAACGATACTGATGGGCTTTAAAGGAGATACAGAGACTGGGATGTCAGTCTAAATATCGATGAGATTTACACCCAGGGAGAGTATACACCTAATTCGGTTTTTACACGGTCTTTTTTTACACGGTTTTAAAATTAAAATTGTAATATATGGTTGCACGACTTTATTCCATTTAGCGCGATTCAAAATCAATGTCTTTTTATATACGGTTTTTTTAGAACTTTTTCTGGAACCAATCTACCGTGCAAAAATAGAATTAGATGTAAAGAACTTGAACAATCTTTAAGTAAACAATTAGGAATGTTTGGAACCCCAAGAGAATACGAAAATTAATGAGCAAATATGGGTGTGCATGTAGAGTGAGAATTATAAATGTTATGAGGATAGAAACTACTATTACAATTAAGCCAATAAGTTATCGAATCAAAAAGTTTTGCTCCTCTGCTACCTTAGTAATATCATTTGTATGACCGCTATATAATAGGGAGTGATCTGACTGAGAACAATGTTTAAACGCCATCGATAAGTTGTGATTGAGACAGGAAAACATACGATCAAAGGGGCATCTCTTCATGCCAACAATTTATAGACCTAATTCTGTTTTTACAAGGCCTTTTTTTTAGGAACTTTTTTGGAACCAAGCTACCGTGTAAAAACAGAATTAGTTGTAAATATTTATCATGCACATGACATCATCATCCTTCTACCGTGGTTCCAACACGATGGCAAGGGAGGAAGACACTACAATAAGCAGTGCCGTGAATACAGACAACGAGAGTATCTTGAAGGAGGTAGCTCAGTCCCCGGTCCTGGAGGGTTTCAGTTCCTATCGTAAGTTTCAAAAGCGACCTTATCCCAGGCAGGAGCAGCAAGCTAATGTGGGTCCTCAAAAATATCAGGGAAGATCGCTTGCTTTATAGCCATCTTATAAATCTTCTTGAGCTGCAACTTTGCATGTAAGGACTCGATCGAAACAGCTAAGACGCGTGGCATTGTTGGGTTTTTGAAAGCATAGCAGGATATTGAATTCTTCACTCAATCGCTCTACAAACTATAATTCAATTGGACTCAACTTATATATATTTGGTTCACTAAAATAAACTAAGTAGTGGCAAGGGTTTCCATCTATTTAAAAATGTATTATTATTATTAACTAAATGTCTAAAAAATATTCCAATATTCTGGCGATAAGTAAGAAACTCATTCATTGCCTATCCCATTGCTTGGCGTTTGTTCCACTGTACAGCGCCTTGGATTATGCTAAGGCTACGGCTTGATGCTGGTGCTGCTGCTGCTGCTGCCCACGACTTTTGCTTGTGGTAGCACAAAACTTTCAACTTTTAACAAACTCAAATTATTTATTATTAATTGAAGACGCAACTGCTGGCAACTCAGGGGAGTACTCGCCAATCTCCACTCTCCACGCTCCACTGCCGCTATGCTTAGGAAATTAATTTTCGACTTTGGCAATGACTTTTTACATTGATTTTGATTAGATTAGAATCCAAGACAAATGTGCTTTTTGTCTCAAGTCTAAATGCAGGAGCAGCAGCAACAACAACAACAACTGTTCATTTACAATTTGTCAAAGTTAATTAAACAATTTAGGTTGACTGAGTCAGGACAAATAATACATACTCGTATATGGAAAGTTGAGCTCGATTGAGGGGGGGCGTGTGAGGGGGGAGTGCGTGAGGCAAGCAGACAAACAATTTATGAAATTGAGAGCATTTCCTGCGCCGCAATGAAAACCAATCAAAATTTGATGTACGACTACAGACAGACGACAATTGCCAAAGCCAGAGTTGAGGACCAGGTAGAGAAGCAGTTGGTAGACTCGAAACAGCAGTTGTTGTTTTTGTTGTGTCTCCAGTTAAAGCTCAACTGCAGGCAGCACAATAATAATTTATGTGCTGGCTACACAACAGATCTGCAAACGATATATGTACATATATATAAAACATAAAGCTGCATACATATGTTATGTATACATACATACATATATAGTTGTATGTGCATTTTTTGATTGATTCAATCAAAACGCGAAACAGCAAACAGCAAACGGCAAACGGCGATCGAGGCGCATCAGGTTTTCTGCATGCCCGTCACGTAATTTATTGATTTAGCTCTTGGGAATATAACCCGATAGTGCTAAGAGTTGGGGAAGGAGAGGTAGGGAGAGGGGAGCTGAAGAGATGAAGCTGATGCGGCTGCCTGATGCGGCTACCCCCAGCTTTAAAAGCAAATCGTGAAAAATAAAATGTTTGCCACCGCATCAGGCTGATTGGTTGACTGGTTGTTGGCTGCTTGATTGTGCGGATCGGTTCGGATCGGATCGGTTGTTGGTTCGTTCGGTTGCTCGCTTGGGGCTCTCAACTGGAAATTCAAATGCATTCAACAAGCGATCGAAGCCGATCTCGTTGCTGTTGTTGTTGTTGTTGTATCTGTAAATGCAACTGCGTAAAGGGGGCAAGGCACATAAATACGCATGTACATGTACGCCTCGAAACGGCGATCATCGATCAACCCAGCCGGACGACAGACAGACACACAGACAGACACTGAGATAATGGCCGGCTTGCCATTTTGCATTTTTGCATTTGTAATGAAACTGAAAACCAGAATGAAATGTAATTTTGAAATAAAGCAGCCATAGTCGGTGCCCACAGCCAGCAGCCCAATGAAGACAAACAGACAAACAGACAGACAGACAGAGAGACACAACAGTATGCTCGCATCGTAGTGAGGCGCATTGAACTCTGCCACAGTGGGTCACTGTTAAAGGGAAATATTCTGAAAAAAACGGAGATATTTTTCCGTGAAAAATTATGATAAATATAGTATTTGAAAAAAATTAAGCTATATTTGATCGAAAGTTAAGCTAAAGAAAACTTTGGATATGTGAAGAGTTGCCCAGTTTTGACTTCTGTCATAAGCATCTTTTCCAGACCTTCTCAAATTGACAAAAATTACTTTTAAACACACGTTCATAAATGAAATTGTCATATTGTTTCTTAGAAATAGTAATATAACTAATTGTAAATAGAATAGTCTATTAGACTTGCCAACATTTTATTCCTTTGAGCAGAATACAGGTACTATGCAGCTACTGTACCTGTAGAAAAATGTGTATGTGGAATTATTGTTTTGATAGTTTAGAAAACATACTGGTTTATTTCAATACATCATCATGATTACCGTTTATTTCAATATAATACTTGAGAATATTTACGTCGCAATTAAATATATTTAATGCATGACCAGCTATTGAAATCGAAACGCAAAAAATAAAATAAACTCGTCCTTTCTCGGAACTAGGAGAATCTGGATACCAACTTTGGTTGTTCTAGCTTTTATAGTTTCTGAGATCCTTGCGTTCATCCAGACGGACGGACAGATGGACGGACATGTCTAGATCGATTTCTCTCGTCATGCTGATTCATATATATACTTTATGGGGTAGGAGATGCTTCCTTCTGCATATTATATACTTTGCACAAACCTAATATACCCTTTTCCCCTACGGGCACAGGGTATAAAAATAAATGAAACGGACATGTCTTTGCAGAAACTAAATATGCTGTTTTATACCCTGTCCCCAGAAACACAGAAGTATGTATATTACTGTATATTATTATATACTGAGAGCTAGAATAACCAAACTTTGTATCAAGGCTCTCCTAAGAACGAAATAGGTATCAGTTGGCTGGAAAAAAATTGACTCTATAGAGGCTGGAAACATTGTTTAAAAAAACATATCAATTTTGCTTAACCAAATATAAATATATCCAAATACAAATATAACCAAAGATAATCAAAAATATTTTCAATTGTTTTTAATACTATGATTATATATTCGTAGAGTCAATAAACAACAATTATACCTAATTCTGTTTTTACACGGTAGATTGGTTCCTAAAAAAGTCATGTAAAAAAAGACATTGATATGCAAAATTAAATTTTTTAATTTTCAAACCGTGTTAAATCAAAACCGCGTAAAAAAGACCATGTGAAAACAAAATTAGGTGTAAATACCAATAATAAACTAAACTTTGAAGGCTAAATATTATCAATCAGTTTTCATTATAATTATTTTCCGTTTATTAAATTTCTTATTACAGATATAATTTTTTCTCCTGCGTCTTTGACTTTTAAACTTTTTATCTTAATACATGCAGCTCCATTTTGTTTTGTTCCATTATTACACATACTAAGCCCACTGTGCGTTATGTTTTTTGAACTGGGTGTAGCCTAGGGTCTGATGTGTATGTAAACGCGCGTATTTCAACTGTTATCAGCGAAACGGCTGTTGTTATTGCAGCTATTGCTGTCGCTGATGTTGTTGTTGTTGTCGGCTCTTGGCTGCTGGCTGGTGGCTGCTTGAATGCTGAAGCCGTCAGAGAGAAGAGATGATCTCTCGCATTCACGCGCCTTCCACTACTACACTGCTGCAAATGGCAATTTAAGTCATTTTGTTTGCCGTTTTTTTTTTCTTTTCTTCTTCTTCGTTCAGGGAATTCAAAATGGTTTAATATTATGCAGAAATCGAGCGACTGCGTAGTAAATTATGGGCCATTAAAAGTGCAGCCAACATGATCGGTGGGTAGGTAGGCATACGGGCAGGTAGGCTGCCTGCCAGGCATAACGACTGACGACAGACAACAGAAAATGGCGTAGTTGTGTAGACAGTGCCTTGGGTGTGAATTGGGGCGGACTTGCGTGTTGTTGAGTTCCAAGGAAAATGCAAATTGTCACTTCAACTGCAGGGCGGTCCTACTACCTGCCTCAGCTCTACAACACTAAGCCGCCGCAGCTGTCGTTAGGTCTAGTCTAGTTTAAGGAATGCCAAAATAGGACCACTGTGCAGGCAAACTCGCACTACTGTGCCGAGTCGCTTCCGCTTCTAGTTGTGCGTAATGTCAGGCAGCTGATTTAACCCGCATTTGTGCTCTTCTCATTGCAGTGGTTTCAGTCTCGCTCCGACGCTCTTGCAAAGAAGATGTTGAGGCCATTGCTATTGTCGCTGCTAATGGTGGCCGCGGCTGCCTTTGGCTCCACCCAGGATGCCAACTACACCAGCAAGGAGGGCTGCGAGTCCATCCTCACGGATCCGTCGCAGTGCGAGTGCCTCGATCATCGCATCAAGTGCGGCCTAGCTATTCTACGGAGTGAGCGGCACCTGAGTGAGATCAGTTGCAGCACGTACGATGCACGTGCCTTGGAATACTTTCCCAGCCTCAAGGTGGGCAACATAACGAAGCTAATACTCAGCCATTGCGCCTTTCCCAGCGCCGCGGTAATGCGCGAACGTTTGGCCCATCTGGGCATCAAGAACTACACGGAGCTGCTGGTGGAGAACATCTTCGAGAAGAACGACAATCACAGCGTATTGCTGCAGCAGCGCTTTGCCAATATGCCCGCCTTCACCAAGCTGCGTCTGCTCAACTTCAAGATTCCACTGCCTGCCAACTATCTGGAGAACTGTACGGAGCTCACAGATCTAACGCTGCGTGGCAGCAGCGATCTTCCCGGCACCCTGCTCCATCCTCTGGGGCAACTCACCAAGTTGGACATCATGGTCCGCAATATGGCCAATGTGGCTAGCAAGATATTCTCGAAGCAAACGAAACTGCAAACCCTCACTCTGGACTGCAGTCTGAAGAACAGCAGCGTGGAGATGTCCACACTCACATCCCAGGAGCTCTGGCATATGCCGGACCTTCATCAGTTCGAGCTGCACAGCTGTGGCGACAATGTGCCGACGGAACTGTTTTGGAAATCCGAGAACTTGGTCTTCATTGGCATTGAGAGCAATATCAGCTATGTGGGCAGGGACTTTCTGAAGGCCCAGAAGAATTTGCTGACACTGCAGTTATCGAGAAATAACATTGCCCGTCTGCCCGACGATCTGTTCCGCAATACGATACGACTACGCCACATCATGCTAGCCCACAACAATTTGGAGCGCATACAAAGGTAAATACAGTGAGAGACTTTTCAAATAATCTCTGGGAGTACTTTCCCTTGAAAAGCCTAAGTCAAGATCTTTACTTTGTTTTTAATCAAAGCTTAAAACTCTCTATGCTTAAAGCATACTGTAAAATGGGCCTCTTTTCTATTGTAAGACCTATTGTAGAATCTTTAAAGCACTTAGTCTGCAGCCCCTTAAACTAAACCTTATTTCGAAGTTAAATAATTTCTTCAAGCCTGACTCAAACCGCAACTACCAAGCCTTTATAAATAAGTTTTAGTCTCAACCAAAAGTCAAAGTAAAGCATTTTAAAGATAAGCTAGAAACCTTGGAGATATCGAGCGCTATCATCAGCAATTGAAATGTGTGGGAAATATTTATACACGCATTTGCTACATTGATTTGATTTTTAAGTGTATTATTAAGAAACTGTTTTCTTATAAAGCTCGTAAGAAATCACAGCTTTTATTCCCTACCCACTAGTGGGTTTTTCTTAGAAATTATACATTTTTGTTCAATTTCGGAGCATTTGACTCAAAAACTATTATTCTAACGGTTTCCATATTCCCAAGTGGGTTTCCTATCATTGTGTTCTATAAATTCCAGAGAATGAGAATACCAAGTATACCAAAGTATTAGGGATTTAAAATCAGTTATTAATCATTGCAAAATTTATCAATGAACTCTTATAGCCTGCTTCAAGCCCACAATTAAGATAATGCGGATAAGAACTAATATTAAGTTTGTTCAGGAAAAGTTTTTATAATAATAAGACTGACATCAACAGACTGACTTCAGGAAAACCCACACACGAGTATATAAGTCCATACATACATCCAATACAAAGCAGATTCAAGCAATATTTTAAACTTTAGCTTCTAGCTTTAACAAAATATATTTATAAGCACCCTGAAGTAATGTCTTCGAAATATTTTTACCAATTTTCAGGGCAAAGATAGTTCTTTTTAGAAGAAAACTTGCTTAAAACTAGAATTAATTCCGTTAGTTATTATTTGAGGGTTGTTTCGTGCATTCTTTCTGAACGTAGATAACTAAGAAGTTGTGTCAATGGACGATTTAGTTTATTTAATTTATGTATATATTGTTTCTATTATATTTTTCTGACTATCTTATCATTTTTACCTTACAGTATTTTACAAATTTTCAGGGCAAAGCATACTTGTTTTTCGAAGGAAACTTACTCAAAATTAGGATTAATTCCGTTAATTATTATTTTTTCTGAGCGTAGATAACTAAGAAAGTTGTGACAATGGGCGATTTGGTTTATTTAATTTCTCTTGTATATATTGTTTCTATTATATCTTTCTGACCATCTCATCATTTTTACCTTACAGTGGTCTCTTCGACAGCATCGAAAACCTGTACATTCTGAATCTGGAGCACAATCCCATTACAACCGTGTCCCCAGATGTCTTTAATAAGCTGTCGAATGCGCGCATCTATTTGGGCGCACTCTACAGTCAGCACAGCAAGGCGGATTGGGCCAAGTCCACAAAGGCCACACTGTGCGAGGAGGAGTTCAAATATGGGGTCTGCATCTATTGTAAGCGGGAGGAGTATTTGGATCATTTCGCCGATAGGGAGAACTGCAACAAGCAGACTGAGAAACTGGAGAACGTTTTGTTACAGAAACTGAACATAAATCGTTGGAACCGAACGCGTACCACGTCCAAGAAGCAGAAATCAGCGAAATTAGTGAAATCAGAGAAAGCAGCTGCCAAATCGAAGGCAACACAATAAATACGTACCTACATATAGTACATACTCATACATATATATATATTTATTTACTGCTGCTCTCAGTGTTAGTTATTATTTCCGATAGCCTGACAGCAGACACTGCTCACATACTATAAACATATATACGAGTATAACATAACTTCTTGTTCATAATGCTGCGCCAATAATTTATATTAAAATTGACACAGGCCTGTGCGAATACAACCACCCAACCACCTACCACCCACCACCCACCACTCACCAGGCAGAACATGCCAGGCTGTCTGCTAAATTGAAAATGAAATAAAAAGCAAAGAAAAAATAACACAAACAATATTAATATTTGTTGCTTACTTTATTTCGTCGGCTGCCACCGATAAGAGAGAAGACGATGGCATATTGGATTGCACCACCACTACCCTTCTCCCCCCACCACCCCCTTTCATTCATATACAATACATATATAAATCATGAACAAAAACAATTTATCTTTTGATTTGTAGCGAGGGGTTGCCGCTTGTTAGAACTTTACTTTTTCTTATCTGCCTTTTTATTTACTTCGTTGGTTTTTTTTTCTCTCTGTATTTTGTATTTTGCGCCCGGGACTTGGACTCGAATGTGCAACATGTCAAATGTAATAAGGCCTAATGTTTTTCTGTAGCATACAACAGTGTGTGGCATGTAAGTGTAAGTGAAAGTTACAGTTGCATTTGTTGCTGGAATCAAGTGAATTATGCGGGTTAAGCGACGTTACACGAGAATATGCCAGTTTGAGGAGATTGCTATCATTTGTGTGTGTGGAAGCAACAGAGGCATAAAATTTGACATGGGGAAGCAAAACGCTTTACATTCTATTATGTAAATCACATTGTGCTGCTCACAATTCTCATGTGGGGCCCACTGAGGCTGAGGGTTAATATCAATGTGATGACAACTCATAAATGTCAAAGCATTTGAACATCACTACCTCAAATGCTGAGCATTTCCATTTACTTGTACGGAATGAACGAGCATGCTTTTACATCATAGGGTGCTACAAATGTAAATGAAAGAAATATCTGCAAACATCTATCAAGGAAAATGAAATGTACATAAATACTTATTGCATCTTCCGTTCCGTTTGTTTTTCAAGCAGGGACTGTAATCATTATAGATGTTATTAAAAAAAATTACAAAATAATGATTATTTTTTTATTTTATTCATTCGCTCACAATTTAATGATTAATTTTGAGTTTTGCTTTAAAAATCAACCAATAATCATTATTAATGAGCAAAAAAATAAAACTTATAAAATAATGATCAAAAATAAAACTCAAGCTGTAATTTTGTCTTTTTCATAAGCATTAAGGACAACATTTATATATATATCCTTAATCAGTGAGTCAAGGCACACATTTTACAAAAATTAATTTTTAATCAATTTGAAGTTAATTTTAATTAATTTCCAGTGTTGAACATTTCCCAAAAGCTCTGACGAGACAGAATCATATTCACTGCAGAATGGTTTCTTAAGTTTCATTTTAAATCAGTCCTTAAAAATTAAAATTATTTTATTCAAAAAGGTTTGAAAAGTGAACGATGCTGCTTTCTACGAATAGGCAGACTTCTCTGTACTTTAGTCACATTCCTTTTGTATACATTCACGTAAATATTGTTAAAAACTTTGCCTAAACTGTTTCAGTATTACGAAGATTTAATAAATCTAATCTTTTTCAGTATAAGGAAGATTTCATAAATCTATTTCAAGTAGTGGAAGAAAGTGGCAAATGCCATTCCTTGTTTTAAAAAAAAAAAAAAGTATTCTAAAAATTACTTAATGCACAATTTAAATGTCCACCTTCCACAAGGCTACACTTCAAATTGCAAAATAACTTTGTGCAAACACAAATATAAATATAAAAAAGTCTACTCTGGCATAAAAAAGCATTCAAGCTAACATCCCAATTAACTCCTCTATTCACCTATGCACACGTAATAATTAGTGATAACATTTATATTAGCTTTAATTACAGCACTCGGTCCCATACTAACTAGCTGCTGTACGAAGTTAGTAAGCAGTATGTAAAGCATTTTATGATTTATGTACCCAGCGCACAAAATCAACAAATAATTTTTCTACATTGCTGACAGCTGCAATTTTTCACTGCCTACAAAAGACAAGAAGAAGTCATGCAACATTTAACAAAAAGACCATTTAAAATGCATGCAACTTTAAAGTTGCAGCCTACCCCATGAGACCATGAGCATGCCACCAGCTGCTGCCACAGCCCTGTGCACCCATGATTGCCTACACACACACACACACACACACACTGGCACACTCTTGCACATTCTGACACACAAACACACACTCACAAATCAATTAAATTCAATTAAATTGGAAAAACCACAGGCCAAGTGCATTTGGCGCTTATCGGCCACTCCAGTTGCATTCAAGTTGGAGTCCTGGTTCCCTGCAACGGGTTCTGGCCAGCTTGGGCCAACTATTGTTCTGTCTACTGGCTGCCAGCCCATCCCCAACACCCCAACAGCCTGTCAATCTTATTCTAATTGAATCGTCCACACACACACACACACTCACACACACACACAGCAACTGAAACCCAACTGAAACTCAACTCGACTTCTACGCATAAACAATTGAAATTACAACAGGCATGGGCATTCCGGAATTTCTGGCCAAAATCAACAAGTCAATGCACACTGGACCAGGAATCCCTCATAGGTAAGCCAAATAATTTATTACAAATATATATGTAGCATAATCCAACTTCAAATCCGGCAATCTTAATTAATTTTTAACTGATAACTATTCATGAAGAAACATAGTAGATCTCTCTTTAGAACTAAAATGAACATTTTTCTTTGAAATTTGACCTAAAAGTGAGGAAAACTAGTATTACAACTTACAATGCCTTCGATACGGGCAAGTACGCACATTTCTTCTAAGAATTCATTCGGTTATTAAATGCGATCTTATGAAGTCTTATGAGAGAATCGTCCAAAGTATCTTCGTTATTTTGACTGAAAATTCTACCCAAGAGTGAAGAATATTTTGAATCAAACGTGCAATGCTTTCTTTGTTAGGTTCTTACTTCAGAATTATTTGATTTGTTTAAAGCTATATTTATAAATATTTAATTTACTTTTTTATGGCAACCTAATCTCAGAAAGTTTCCAGGCTTTATTAAAGACCAGAGAGCATAAAGATAGAAGGTATACAACAGTTTTGGAAATAAAGTGCTCATGATATGCTAACATAAACGAAGTAAGAGCTTATTAATTATTTCACGATAAATATCAAAACAGCTGGTATTTGTTTAATTTCTTGAATTGATGTTTGGGTCTGGTCAGAGCGGAATAATAAGTTTGCAGCCCATTTAGGGAGATGCCAACTGTGTTCTTAGCATAGAAGTATACAGGGTATCCCTTTATAATCAAAAATATTTCGGGTTAAAGTTTTGAATCATATTTCCCTGCTTATTTCGAAAAACGAAAGAGTTAAAAAGAATTCGAAGAACCCACAACTTTTCTCCAAGTTTGAACTGCAGCAATTATTACTGAACTAACTCACGACCCAGCGAATCAGAGATGCCAACTCCGCTGCTATTAATTTAATTTAATTTTTTTTTTTTAATTTTAATTTTTTCATTACTAATTTATTTTATTTATAGCATTTTTAGAGACCAATTCATTCGGCTTACTTCTCTCAGTACATCAATTGAAAAGCAGAACAAAAATATGTGTACATAACATTGATTTAGAAAATCAAAGTAACCTATATTTAAAGTTCAGCATTTCAGTCGTTCATTCGAATTCAGAATCGAAAAAGGTGCGTGCTAAGCTACATTTACAGACTGAAAAAAATATTATAATAAACCATTTACTGAAAATGGGGGTAAGTACGCATAATTCTTCTATTTCATCGCACGACTAAAAAATCAACAAATCATTCAAAGCCAATTCGTCCCACTGTTTCGTTGGTGGGTGGTGGGGACGACTTTTGTCCTGTCTGTCTGTCATTCATTGCAATAAAGCCCAGGACATTGCATTTGTTTGGTTTTGGTCTCTAATTGACTTGGCACTTGACCTGCTGACTTCGACTCACAGCGGCCCCCAGCAGTCCCCCAGTAGTCCAGACAGATGCTGGGTGGACACAGTTTTAGATGCAGGTGCAGTTTTTGCAGCATTTTCACCGAAAATGCCTTAAATTGCTTTCGAAAATTGCGTGCATAAAAACGTTGAGCAATTTTTGAAATATTTTTCTATGATTTTCGTTGTGGAAACTGCCGCGGGTTTTCTGCTCGACGCCGTGTCATCATGTTAATTAATTAAAAAAGTTTCTGAGCCTTTTTCCCTGTTTTTTTGGCGGGTTAAAAAATGCATGCAATTTTTATTTCGCACATGGAGCAGAGAATGGATGGGCCATGGGGGCGTTTGGGGCGTGGCAAGGCAGGCAAATTAGCACATCCAGCATGCTTGTTAAAATATTTGCAAATATTTAAATTGACATTTTTTCCGGGGCCAGCCAGCAATGTCAATTTGCCAAGTAGCCCCAAGCCATGTGCTGAAAGGTTCAACAACATTGTTGAAATGGACAATGGAGGTGTATATACATACGAGTATATATTTATATATACACTAATGGACAAAATAATAGATGTGCGTTTTTTTAAGTTATCCATTCATTGTTCTTTAAAGACCAAGCTAGTTCTCAAAATATACTTTCAAATAATACTCTCATACAGTTCCGTCGATGCAAGACAAGCCGCTTAGGCAAGATTCGTAAGATCAAAATAAGAATCGACACCACACCGAAGGTGAAAGCAATGCTTCACATATATCTAAACGAAATGGGCGGGATGAACCAAGTGAATCGGCTCTGCAATGCCATTGTTCAGGAGAAGGTCACTATAACCAAACGCCAATTGATCGAAGAAGTTAAGCTGCGAATGCTGCCACTGCTACCGGAAGAAATCCGGGAGGAACTTAACATGGATATAGTACAAGGAAGTGCTAATAGAGTGTGTGGTAATGAGGTTGCGAGTGGAGAATGCCATGGGAACGCCAATCAGTCCACAGATGATGCCACCAATGGAGTCAACAGAGGGGCAAACGGTGGAGTGAAGGACGATGTTGACGATGAATTGGTCGACAAGTAATCTACACTTATATATCAGTACTCTCATATTCTGACACGCACTTGCACAGTGCCTTAAATTCAAAGTAACATTGTTCTAGTATTGTGATTATTACAAAATTAGAAACACGGCACCTCACACAGCAAGTGCAATATAATTTGAGTTTCAATAAATTCGATATATGTTAATGTCTTACGTGTATCTGTTTTATTAAAACCAGAAATCAACTGCAAATAGTATTCTAAACTTTTTTAGTTTGTTGAAAAAAAGTAACGTACACTTTTGAAAGAAGATTTTCAGAAGATTTTCAATATTAAACATTTCTTCATTTGTATATTTGAAATAACTTATATTTATTGTTCAAAAAAATATATATTTTTAATAACATCGAATCGATTCAATTTGTAACTCTAGCACAAGTATACCATGATTAAATTTAATTGGCTATAAAAAGTGATTTGTAAATCCTTTTTTAAAGTCTGCTTGTAAAATATCACAAAATTAAATGCATATTTTTTTTATATATTCTCAGAAAACATTAGCTACAAATATATTGAATAAAATTAAATTAAAACTTATTCTTCAGAAGAGAGTTTCGATAGTCTATATCTAACTTTATTCACTATGGAATGCTGATTGTAATCTTTAAATGCGAGATTTTTTTTTATTATTTTATAATCTAAATGAAAATGCAATTAAAATTACAAATAAGCTTAAATAATAAAGCTATAGCGAATTGATCTTAAGACTTAACTAATGGGATACAAATATTTACAGAGGTGTATGGAGCTAAGTTGGAACTAGAGGTATGTATTTGAAAGGATGCTTTAAACGACCACTTTAAATTTTCGGTAAAGGAACTAAAAAGGGAGTTGAAGTATTGAAGTACACCTAATTCTATTTGTACACGGTAGATTGGTTCCAGAAACAACCATGAAAAAAAAAGAACATTGATCATTTGCAAAAATAGGTGATTGGCTCCAAAGAAATATATATGCAATTTTTAATTTTCAAACCGTGTTAAATTAAAACCGTGTAAATAAGCCCGTGTAAAACAGGATTAGGTGTACTCGTATTCATATCATATGTATGTTACAGAAATAGGGGTACTGGTGTTGAAGAATTGTATTTTATTGAATTGAATAGTTTCATAAATATGGAAATTCTTCTGGGAAAGTTTTGAACAATATTTCATTATCTCGTATATTGGCAATAGCCGAAACCCAAGTTAATGGTATACATGAGAAGTGTAATGAGAGTACCTGTCTGTGGCTTGTAGGGGCGAAAGGCCTGTCCTCCTTTCCTTTGAATATGTTAAAAACATGAAAAACATCCTGTTTACCTTCAAATAAGTGGAAACAATATTTGATTATAAATGTAGCAAATGTGAAATCAAACGAATACACTTAATTGTACATAGAAATGAAATCCCAATTGTTTTCTTCATGTTTTTTCATCAACACGAATATGCACTGTGGCGTTGAGTTTCTATATCTTGTTGACATGCCACGCGGCAAACTTTGAAATGCCATCGCGGCATTCGCTCAACTTAAATGCAAACACTTTAAAATTGCATTTGCTAAATGCTCAACAAACACACACACACACAAATACACACACACGCACACACAGACAACTAATCAAAACAAATTCAATTAAACTACACGACGTTCGGCAATCCAAATACAATTCCTAAAGAAAAATGAAGAAAGATAGATATGAAAAGAGAGAAAGAGAGTGGGTTCGGTCCATTCGAAGCGTCTGATGCTGCTGCTGCTGCTGCTCTGGCTGTGGCTGTTGCTGCTTATCTGGCAGCACAATCCATTAAAATTGCACATCGTTTACACCAAAAATCAATTCGCCAAAGCATTTAGGCATTACAAATGCCAAGCCAGCCACTGGCTAGCACAAAGCCAACAACAGTCTGGTCAGCCGGCTTAGTTGGCCTGGTCAGTAACGTCGCTGGAGACGACTGCTATGGCGATGAGGTGGAGGCCTCAACTGAGCTGAGCTGAGCCAAGTCGAGCCGAGTCGAGCCGACGATATTCGTTCGATGGTTGGTGGGGGCCCGCTTCAAATTCAACGTTGATGCCCATAAATTTCACATACGGCGTTTCAGTTTTTGTTTTGTTTGTTTGCTGACTGCTGTGGTTGTGGTTGTTGTTGTTATTGTTGGCTGTCGGCTACCAAGCGATAAACGGCCATACGTTCAGTTGGCATTGCTTTGAAATGTATCCGCCAGATACAGCTGCATTTGTGAGCAGCCAAAGGCTTAAATGCAAGCGCGCTTAGCAGCTATGAATGCGGCTAAAAGTGAAGCATTCAAGGCAATCGATGTGCTAAGCCTTCTTGCTACGGAATACAATTCCAAATGAGGCATCAATATCGCTAAAGCGAACCATTAAAGTCCTTAAAAATCAGGCAAATTCAACAACACTTTTTGTAACATATTCCTTAGCTTTAAATATTTGGAAGAGCAGATGGAAATGATAATTAAAGGACAGATCTTAAATAAAGAATAAAGATTTTAAAAAAAGAAACTATGGTTTAAATTATTTGAAGTTATTTATTTTTAAATTTCTGAAAAACACCACATATCTTGACAACTCCTGCTCTTTGGTTCGAAGGCACCTGTAGCCTGAAAAACGAACCTTATTTTAAACTGCCTTCAATGGCCAGCAGATATAATGCTGGGTTCTTCAACGAATCCAAGCATATGGCATTATATTATAGAAATACACGTATGTATATCTATCAATCCGCTCGACTGCCATTATAGTCCCCAAACGACCTTCTCTAAAGACATTGAAGTTTAGAGCACACAACTTTACTGAACAATATTCCAATAACTTCAAAAACTTCTAATAGTTCATTTATTTATGCTAATTAATAACAGAATTACACATTACAATTCTTTTGAAACTTCGATGTAAGCAAACTAAAAAGGAATACACTTTTTATTGTTTGAAAGGCTTTGAAATATTTGATTAAATTTATATTTATAAACTTTAACATTTCTTTATATTCGACTGCCAAGAAACTGTAAACACTTTACATAAAGCTGTTTTTTTAATTTTTTACTCGATTCTTATAACAAAATTCATGAACTTCATGTTTTCCAAATTCCCCTTAACCTGTTTAGAGAGAAATTCAAGATTAATTATAATATTTCTGATTTATGCAAAATATCAATATTCTTCTAACTAAATACTATATCGTTGAAGTCGAATGAATTTTAGTTAATCATTTAATTATTTAATACAAAATTATTTTATTCCTTTTGGAAACATACGTTTATGTCCATCAATTCATCAATTAATTATTTAATACAATATTAGTTTATTCCTTTTGAAAATACACGTTTATGTCCACTCAATCGATTCCCCACCGTAAATGCATTTCTACTTTTGGGACACTATACAGCGGAGCTCCAAAACAAACACAAACAAACACACAAACATCGGCACTCCTGCCGCCTGTTGTCTGGCAGCCCGGACTCGGCTCCTCTGTCAATTCGATGTCACTTCGCGTCGCACGACAAATTATGTCTATCGGAAATGGACAGAAAAGTATCTGTAGCAAACAGAGAAAAAAATACAAAAACGTATGTTTGTTTGTATGTATTGGCGGCATCGTTGCATGGTGTCAGCGTGTCGTGCGTTTTATTAGTGGCAACTCAAACAGCAAATTGAGATTAGAATGCTGCGCCAATTGCCCGCCACCAACTGAGTGACTGAGACTGGGACTGAGACTGGGACTGGAACTGGGACTGAGCCCATGAGTTATGGCGTGCATTAAAGCGCAGTCATGTGTGGATTGAAGTGTGATCGAGAGGCATTTATTGGCACACTATAGGGAATAGTAGTAGGAGAAGTAGCAGTAGTAGTTATAGAAGCAGAAGTATTAGTAGTAGCTGCAATAGTAGTAGTTGTAATTGTAGTAGTATAAGTAGTAGAAATATTAGTAGAAGCTGCAATAGTAGTAGTTGTAATTGTAGTTATATAAGTAGTAAAAGTAACAGTACTAGTAGTGCTGGTAGTAGTACTAGTAGCAGCAATAGTTGTACTAATAGTGAGTAGAAGTAACAGTAGTACCAGTAGAGTTGTTGCAGTAGAGTTGTTGCAGTAGAGTTGTTGCAGTAGAGTTGTTGCAGTAAAGTTGTTGCAGTAGAGTTGTTGCAGTAGAGTTGTCGCACTAGAGTTGTTGCTGTAGAGTTGTTGCAATAGAGTTGTTGCAGTAGAGTTGTTGCAGTAGAGTTGTAGATACATATAGGTATTGTATATATAGTAGTAGTAGAAACTACAAGTTGTTGCTAAGCGGTTTCTAGACAAGCATCTTAAGATTCATAAAAGTTATTACACATTTATTTAATACATCAAAAACATTATGATTTCTCCTATTGTTCCACTAGAGGGTATTTTGAGCCAAACAGAAACAGTCAACAAGAGGCCTAAATAAAACGGCAGAAGGAAATTTTTGACTAAAATAGAATCCGAATAAAAGAGCTCCCTTGTGCTGTAAACAATATGGAAACGACGAAGAAAAGGAAGAAGAATAGTGAGAAGGAGGCTGAAGAGGTTTTGACCTTCCCAATAGATTTATATAAATTATAAATGTAGAATTGTACATTGAATTGACTACACACCTAGTTTAAGTTGTATTTATATTTACGTTTAAGTTTAATTTAAGTTATAAATATAACAGTATAATTTGAAATAAAATATAATAAAATATGCATTGTTGTTTATTATCTAACAAACGTCAGTTGTAAATATATATTGTAAAAAAAATAAAAAAGAGTGACAAAAGAAAGTGTCTTGGGACATACTTGTTCTAATGACAAAAACAAACATAATTATGTATCGGAGAGTATGTGCTTTAATAGTGGTACTTAACTGTAGATCTATTGTGCACCAAATAACCCCCTATACTCTAATACTTATAAGCCGTTGATTCTTGTTCATTTCTGGGTTTTTGTATTGATCCATCAAACGTATCTGCCTTGGTCAAGAAGTGCCTAACGTTTGGTTGAGTCTGTTGCGAGTGGCTCTACCTGGTATCATACGTCATGATCTGTAACTTCTAACTGTGCTAGCCTGGTAAAAAATATATTTATACCTTATTTGTAAGTGGTCTTAAAATTAAATTCTTTATCTATTTTTATTTGAGAACTAAAACATAAATCGTTTTGCAAT